AGGCTGCCTTCCCTAGAGGGGTGGGTGGCACCGGTTACTTTCTCTGTTAGTTAGCAGCCCATTGATCCAGCCTGTGGGAGTTCTCCTGCCTCTCGGGGAGAACTGAGACTTGGGGAGGAGGAAGGATTGTGTTGTGGGAAGGGCGAAGGAGGCTCGGAGATGAGGGAGGGAAAAAGGAACGGGCGAACAGGTGGTGGGCGAACAGGTGGTGGCGTCTTCAGCAGTGACAGCAGGAGGCTGAGGTTGCTAATCCCAGGTCCGCGTAGCTCCAAGGTGCAGAGGAGATTTCTGTTCTCAAAGAATTTACAGGCAGCCCAGCGCAGTGGCACAGTGGTTGAACGTCGACCTACGAACCAGGAGGTCATGGTTCAATTCCCAGTCAGGGCACATACCTGGGTTGTGGGCTCAAACCTCAGTGTGGGGCGTGCAGGAGGCAGCCGACTAATGATTCTCTCCCATCATTGATGTTTCTAGCTCTCTCTCTCCTTTCCTCTCTGAAATCAATAAAAATGTATTTAATAAACAAAGAATTTACAGATAAATGCACCGTGTGAAGTAGGGAGAGGTGGTGAGGGGAATGAGAGAAGCGAGTATTTCCAGAATAAAGGACAGCTTCATGAAGCTTGAGTGGCCTGAAAGAGAAGACAGAGAGAAATTTCAAGCTGTACACACAACCTGATTCAAGGCATAGTGAGGCATTCCTTTTGGCTGGATGGGAGGGGAGACTTGGAAGGAACACCAACAAGGTGGGTTGGGTCAGCGCAAACAGGGAAAGGAGCAAGCAAAGGTAAGCCTCTGAGGGACTGAGAGTTGGGGGCTAGCACTTTTGCTAGGAGCTTATTGCAGGAACAGTCCCCTGGAAAGGCAGCGTAGAACCAGAGTGTGGTGGCTGGGATGGAAGGAAGGGATGGGAGACACAAACTTGAACTCTGTGGGAGGAGTCAAACTGGATTCTCAGCTGAAGAGCTGGGGGTCGCTGGAGGAAGTCAGAAGGTCTAGACTGGGGGCTTGCTGAGTGAGCGAATGCCAAACAGCCAGTTAGTGGGCTCTATTGAAAGAACAGTGGGGTAGGCATCAGATCACATTTGCAAATCAATGCACAAAGGAAGCTGGGCTTTTGCAAACCATTTGGCATCTTTGAACCTGTTTCCAGGTGGATGAAATGAGGATAATGATAAGGTTGTTGTGAGGAGCAAATGGGATGACTGTAAAACATCAGTGCCTTCTTTTATGAGGATGGTTTGGTGTCAGGGCCAGCCTGACAGGGTTGAGCCGGGCTGAGGCAGGGAGGTGGGAATTGAGAAAAGAAAGACAGACAGGAAAGCGGGGTCGGGAGGACCCCAGTTCTCTTGATGAACTGAAGTGAGTTTATTAGCCATACCATCCTATTTATACACAACACACTGAATCAGAGGTCTGTCAAGAGGAATGTATTCTTTGTTCCTCTTAATCTCTAAGGGAGAGACACAGCAGAAGGACAAGTTCTCAGTACAGCGTATCTCAGTAAATAGTTACAGACTTCTTGGCAAGCTATGAAAGGCTGTTCTCATTCTACAAATGTTACTCCCATTCTACTGACAATCGCCATCCAAACAAGTCTGGGAAAACTGTGTGGGTAAGGGTCCCAGCCTTGCTAGCCCCTGCAGGTGCAAGGACCTTGCCAGCTTACATCTGGCCCCCAACAGTTTGGTATCTGAATGGTGCATATTATCAGCCAAACTTAAAATGATTATTTTTTTAAAATTTCATTTCCGGAATTGGAAGCCAAGGCAAATAAAAGTTTTTCTTTGAAATGGCACCTAAAATGACTCAACATTACATTTGACTACATAAAAAACAACAACAATACTTTTATGGTAAAGTCGTTGTCATGTGCCACTTATTTTTAAAGCCTTTTTCATTTATTCATTCTGTTAATTACAACAGCACTGTGAGGTAGGTACTATTATTATCTTCACTTCACTGATTGAGTCATGGAGAGTTAATTCACACAGCTGGTGCATGGCACAGCCAGGATTCAAACTCAGGCAGTCTGGTATATTTGTATTTTATCCTCACCCTGAGCATATGTGTTGGTTGTATGTGTGTTTTTAAAAAATATATATTTTATTGATTTTTTTACAGAGAGGGAGAGGGATAGAGAGTTAGAAACATTGATGAGAGAGAAACATCGATCAACTGCCTCCTGCACACCCCCTCCTGGGGATGTGCCTGCAACCAAGGTACATGCCCCTGGCCGGAATCGAACCTGGGACCCTTCAGTCCGCAGGCCGACGCTCTACCCACTGAACCAAACTGGTTAGGGCTGTATGTGTGTTTTTAAATTGATTTTTAGAGAGAGAGGAAGGGGAAAGAAAGAGAGAGAGAAACATTGATGTGAGAGAAAAACATCTATTAGTTGCCTCCTGTATGCATCCCAAACAGGATCAAACCCAAAACCTAGGTATGTACCCAGGAATTGAACCCACAACCTTTGGATGTATGGGAAGACACTCCAACCAACTGAGCCACACCAGCCAGGGCAAGAACATTTTCTAATGGGGGTAATGTAGCTGTAATTTAATTACAAAATACATATTTTTGTTCAGCATCATTTTCTCAAGTAGGGCTCACTGTTCTAATTTAGTACAAAAGTATCAAAAATATCAAGGTACAAGAAAAGACTGTCAAGTATCAAAGGACACAAAGAAGTAGATTAAAGTTATAGGAAATGGGCATTGTTGTAATTTGGTTAGTATTTGAGAGTTTATATAAATACTAGAGGCCTGATGCATGAAATTTGTGCAAGGGGCTTGGCCCTCACAGCCCCTCGCAGCCTCGGCCGGCCCTCGCAGCCCCAGCTTCATCCAGATGGTCATCTGGACGTTCTGCTGCTCAGTCTAATTAGCATATTAGCTCTTTATTATATAGGATTCTATTCTTTATTAAACAGTCAATCAATTTACTTATTTATGGACTCATGGTTTCCTATGTTATTCAGTGGGTTCAATACATTCTTCTTATTTATTTTGATGTTCACATAGTCCCAGTTTGGCTAGTAGGAACCTCTTCAAATGGTCTTCTGGTTCTTTTGACATGTCCTCATCATCCTTTGATCATTTCCTTGCTTTCTGGGAAAAGATGTTCTAGGTGCATCTTGTGCTTTCTCTGTCCCAGGGATGAATTAATTCTCTAAGGAGTCCTAGTCCCATTTAGTGGGGATTGGTACTTAGAAACTGAGATCTGAGGGTGTCCCTATTCCAGGGCCCGCTCAGTGGTTACAGTTGGGACTATACACCCACACATTTACTAGTACATGCACAACACACACACAAACACATACACACATTTACAACTATATTTACTTGCATATCTATCTGATGGGGAAAAATAAGACATTTTGGGGGGGCTAGCAATCTGACTCTGTGCCAGTAACCTAATGTACATTCTCGATAGCCTATAATTAAGTCACTGCCCCTTTCTCCACAATCTGGTCTTGCAAGACCGGTTTACCTAAACACTCACATTTTACAGAGACCATAAACCATGAACAATACACAACCCCCAGAGGGGGTTATTGGCGCTGGCGCCAGGCCAGGCCTTTAGGTGTGGTCTCACAGCACCCATCCCAACACACAAGGCTTTTTGCAAAGCACGCGAAAGGTCCGGAAGTCTGATCCATATTTGGGTGACAAAGAAACCAAAAGGTATAAAGAGAAAGCTTCTTCCATATTGGCTTGCTCAGGATTTGGGAACAGGGTCTCCTGGGTCAC